GGCAATTTGAGGGGCAAAAATTTTGTCTCCATTACTATTTACTCTTTATAAATCTATATATTATCTATATGCTGACGACACCCAAGTATACCTGTCTTTTCATTCATCAAACGTCGTGAACGCTGGGGAAACTAATTTTAACTTATAAATTTTAATATTTTTAAAGTGTATTTTTAAAATAAGTCTTATAAACAGGGTGTTTATTTCAAAACTTTCCACCTCAATTTCTGTAAATCCGGAAGTTTAAAAAGAAAATCGCTAAAATAAGTAAAAAATAAAACCAACGGGGACAACTTTTTATGCAAAAATTGACTCACTCACTTCAACCCCCCGCCGCCAGAAACCAACCCCTTAAAAATCTTAAATGGAAAGGGGTGTCAAGTGATACCTCATTTTAAAGGTCTTTTAAGGTACTACATGTTAGTATTTATTTTTTTTAAATTGATCGATTCGTTTTCGAAATTTTTGCGAAAATCTTTGTTTTGTATTTCCCGCTTTAATTAATATTAAAAACTTTAATCACCTTCTTAAAAGCAAGAATAAGTAATCTTTTATTATTAATTTATAAAATTAAATTACCATGTTCGTTTTTACAACGACCATTAAACCTTTATTATTTCGGAGCAATCCGAAATCTTTGATATTTAGGTTATTTTGACAATGATATACCTACGTTGGCTAGCTTGCCTGGCGTCTGTCAGAGATATTTAGAAAAAACGATTTCTGTTTCATTTTTCTTTTCTTTTAGGTTTATTTGGTTATTACTTAAACAACTTTTAACTGCTTGAAACGTTCTATTTTATTTTCAGTTATTTAATTATGTACAAAAACTTTTTGCAGAGAAAATCAACTTAATAATTGTTCAAAGTGTTGTCCGTTATTAGCTAAACAATGGTACAACCGTTGTTCAAAACTACGGCGCACATTTTCAAAAACTTCCCTTTGAATTCCACGGCAAGCTGCAGTAATTCTCTGACGAAGTTCTTCTAAATTTTGAGGTTGAGGGGTAAATACAACAGACTTTAAATGACCCCATAAAAAAAAGTCTAATGGCGTCAAATCTGGTGATCTGGCTGGCCATTCTATAGGACCTCTTCGTCCTATCCATCTGTTTGGAAACGTATTATCTAACCACTGTCGTACTGGGAGAACATAGTGAGGAGGAGCTCCGTCTTGTTGAAAATGTAATTCATTCTCATCAAGTAAGGCATTTTCTTCTCTATCCAACTGATTCTCGAGAGCTTCCGTAATTAGTGGATTGATAGTATTTTCTAACATATCCAAGTACACTTCGCCGTTTAAATTTCCATCGATAAACACTGGACCAATCACTTGGTCTCCCAAAATGCCGGCCCATACATTAACTTTTTCAGGATATTGTGTATGCCCTTCTACAGTCAGATGAGGGTTTTCATTACTCCAATATCTGCAGTTATGTTTATTTACAAATCCATTTAAAGAAAAAGTGCATTCATCACTAAAGCAGATATTTTTCACAAAAACGTTGTTATTATTAATAATAGTGGTCACTTCTTCACAAAACTGTATTCTCCTGTCAAAATCGTCTTCAGTTAGCTCTTGATGTATTTTCAATTTATAAGGATGGAATTTGTGAAGTTTTACAACTTTATGAACAGAACCCAAGGATATACCAGTTGCACGAGATACCTGACGCAATGAAGTATTGGGGTTGATACCGAAATGACCCAACACTTCCAGTTGAGCGGTTTCATTCAAAACTCTCGACTCATTATGTTTTATGTTGGCAACGGACCCAGTCTGAGTGAATTTCTTCATGATCTGGATGCCTTTCATTAAAAACTGCGGCAGTTCGTCGAGCACATTCATTTTGGGATCCATACATTAATACAATTTCAATCCTTTCCTGCAAACTGTAAACCATTATTGCTGTTTTATTTAAATAACTTTGTTAAGTGGATAACACAAAGTTGTTTAAGTAATAACCAAATAAACTTATGTTTAGAATTGCACTTTTATTTTATTCTTTTCTCGCACTGTGAGCCTGCCTATAACTCGTTTATAGAAAGAGAAAAATTTCGTCTCTTTTTTTCCTTTTTTTGGCCATTCGAGTCAAGAGTAATTTTCATACAGGTTTAATGTAAAATACTTTCAATAAAATTTAGTTTAATTCATAATTATACGTGTTTAGTTTTCTTAAATATTTCCGATTGCTCCGAAATAATAAAGGTTTAATGGTCGTTGTAAAAACGAACATGGTAATTTAATTTTATAAATTAATAATAAAAGATTACTTATTCTTGCTTTTAAGAAGGTGATTAAAGTTTTTAATATTAATTAAAGCGGGAAATACAAAACAAAGATTTTCGCAAAAATTTCGAAAACGAATCGATCAATTTAAAAAAAATAAATACTAACATGTAGTACCTTAAAAGACCTTTAAAATGAGGTATCACTTGACACCCCTTTCCATTTAAGATTTTTAAGGGGTTGGTTTCTGGCGGCGGGGAGTTGAAGTGAGTGAGTCAATTTTTGCATAAAAAGTTGTCCCCCTTGGTTTTATTCTTTACCTATTTCAGCGATTTTCTTTTTAAACTTCCGGATTTACAGAAATTGAGGTGGAAAGTTTTGAAATGAACACCCTGTATGTGCAACAAAGGGATACTAATTGTATACATGTTATAGGAATGACCTTACTAAATCCTATATGTTGATAAAATTAATTTTAACTATCACAAAATCTCTGATAATGGCGTAAGCTGAAACTTGTAAGACACATTAAATAGATAGTGACCAGAAAACGTATTGGATTTTTCAGTTTCATTTACATAATTCTATAATAAGATGAAAAACTTAATACTCGAAGTTTTCGAATCACCAGAGAGTAACAAATGAAACAATAGACGTAGACAGCGAACAAGTAGAAACACTTAAAAGATTAAAAAATAGAAAATCAGCTGGTAAGGATGGAATACAGAATGAATTACTAAATTATAGAGCATTAACAACGCTCATAAACAAAATACGAAGATCACAGATACCAGAGAAATGGTGAACGTAGTATAACATTAGATAGAGTAAAAGAAAAACGTCTTACTTGCTTTTTAGAATTTATACATATAATCAGAACATTCAGGACCGGTTTCGAGCATTTCAATTACTTACGTTATCATCAGCCGAATCTATATTTAAAATGAAATAAATCAAAACATTTGAAAGCAGAATTAAATAAAACAATTTTTAACTTACTGTCATTAATATTAAATGGACCACTCGTCTTAACAAAATATTAGGTTGAAAATGTCGTTTTGTGTATATTTTACAAAAACGTTCAAAAGCTTACAATGTAGCAATATTGAATAAAATGTTTAAAAACAGATCTGTAAAAAATGGGGTGTTGATTGTTGTTGGATGGCTGACGATCATTTTCGAAGTAATTTTCCGCGTGGAATCAGAATCCGAGCTCGGAATTGGAAATCACGTCAGGATTTTGAGATATTTGAGGGTATGTACAAGAAAGATGGCTTTTTTGGCTACTTTTGAAGTTTTGTGATTGATGGCTTTCTTTTCTGATAGTACCGTGACCTCTCGCTACTCACTAGTAGTATAATATTACTTTTTAAAAAATGATATGAAATTAATCTACTGTGTACAACACTAAAACTGACAAACAAAAATTAACAGCGACAAAATAACGCCAAGAACAGAAATCTTTTTCTACTTATGACGCTTACTGTATATAGAAGAACATTATATAGTACTTCATGTCCATTAATATCAGAATTTCTCTCATGTTGTTTAAGCGCTTACAATGCAGGTGGTCAACTTGCGCGTACCCTGTCTACAATGACACAGAAATAGTCTTCCCGAAGCAACTCAAAAAGCTCACGTTCTCATTCATATCAAAAATTCATTTCTTTACGTCTCATTCTCGCGACTTTGAACATTCTGTCAATATTAAGTAATTCGCTACATCGGTGGCTGCAGCGAAGAAATAAAAAGAAGCCTAGAACCGAGCTATTACTAGAAATACCAAGATGTTGCTAGCTAAGTCATTAATTTTTCCAATCGCCACGTACGCATCGAAAACGTGGACATTAAAGCAAAAAGAGCGAATGATGATCGAAGCTTTTGAGCCTCCAACAGAACACTAGAGAAGTTTGTTTGTACAGGCACTAGTACCACCAAGAATTTATGGATTACCTGAAAGCCATAAACCGGATGTCCCGCTGCGCCCTATTGTCAGTGCCATAAATTCTTTATCGTACCAGCTGGTGCAGCACCTTGTCAAGTTTCTGTCTCCCATTACAGATAAAACAGAATGATATGTTAGAGATTCTACACATTTTGTGGAATATGTTGGAATACAAGATATGTAAGTTTCGATGTAAAATCTCTATTTACCAGAGTACCAGTCAAAGATTCCGTTTATGGTCCTCGCCAAAAACAAATTCCACAGGGACTACCGAAGTATATTCCAGGGCTAGTACTGTTTATCATCGACATAATTTAGCCGGAAGAAGGAATTCACTTTTGTTACCGGTAATCGCCAACTTCGACATGGAGATGTTTGAAGAAGAGGCGTTAAGGAAGAGTCGACTTTGTTGCAATTATAGCTTTGTTACGTGGATGACACTTTGTGATCTGGCAGCATAGAAAAAAGCGTCTCAAGGAGTTTCTAAACCACGAAGTCGCAACATCCTAATATAAAAATCCTCAAATATACCGTGGTAGCGGAAGCTGCAAAACAGTTACTTTTTCTAGATGTTTTGATTACTAGGAAGATAATAGATAGGCACATGGAACTAGGAGTCTATCGAAAGAAGACACACACAAACAGGTATATTCAGGCTTCAAACCATCATCATCCACAACAAAAGAGGCCAAATCTTGTTCGCGCTATTCCATTATCATTTGCGAAAAAAAAATTAACTTGTGAAAATCAATACTTGTATGAAGGTTTTAGATAACCAACATCACACCTATGTGCTAAATGAATCGTATATCTATTAATTTAGTATCACGTGTATTTTTATGGTTTGTTTGTTTTGATCTTGTTTTTCCGGTTTTAAGTGAATACTGTTTATTCAAATTACATTCTTAAAAATTAGTATATCATATTTTAACCTCATTTTACATTATGTTAATTGAATAGTCTTGAAATAACAAGATAAAAAGACAACCTGTTTATTTAATAATGGGCATAAATCGTTATTAATAACTGACCTCTCCGTTTCAAGATAGATAACAAAATGAATTGTCATTTTGATTAGTCAACAGATTAATCAGTGTAGAATGAAAATTGTTTATGAAAGAAGTATGGAATCTACTTAGAAAACGTTGAGGATTAAAATAAATGTGGTTAGTGATAGAATTTGATAGTTAGTGAAAATTGTTTGAAAAGCGACACAATCTCCGTTAACCGTCCTACTTTTTAAGAAAGCTCCCTCTGCATCCGTTTTATTAGTAGATACTTTCACGGTCATATTTGCTACAAACCCACTTGTCAGTGTTCAGTATATGTTTAGATTTGAACAACGCCAGAATAAACACTAATAGAATTTTAATCAAAACATAGAAATAACATTTATATAAATTAAAATGTACGATTTTAATTGGGTCCAACTTGTAATGTGTTTAATGACCGTAATAATGGTGTTTATGTCGGGTATTTTAAACAATTTTGAAAAATATTTACCTAAATCGGTCAGCAGTTCGTTTCGTTATGGAAAATTCGCTGGCGAAAAAAGTGCGATCTTGGAGGTTCCAAAAGCTTGGTTCAAACATTTTTACGTATTTTCTTCGATTGCATCAGTAGCTGCATTTGTGCTTTTCGTTAAAGTTTATTGTTACGATTATGAAACGCCCGATTTTATTTTGGATGGATTAGATTTTGCGTTGGGGGCGAAAAGACAAATTTCTGGTAATTTTTTTAATATTTTTCTTTAATAAATATTTTTTTTCATTATTAAATGGTTTCCATTCTTTTAGCGAATCCATCAAGATCGTTTTTGGCAATGTTTTTAATAACATTACAATGCGTTCGACGACTTTACGATACTCAATTCGTGTCTGTTTTTTCGAAAAAAGCGAGAATGAATATTACGCATTATTCCGTTGGTTTTATTCATTACGCCGCTGTAATGATAACACTTTTAGGGGAAGCACCTAAATTTACAAGAGATACAGGTAAGTTCAAAACATTTATAAGATTATTAATTATTAAGATTATTAAGGTAGATATGCACGATAACGATTAAAAATTAACTAGTGGCTATATAATGTAAGTAAAAATCGCGAAATTCAATATTATTGTTGGAACATAATCAAACTTGTATTTATTTCTTAGATTAGCAGGAATATAAATGATTAAAAGATGTGAATGTTAAGTATAATTGTGTTAAGGGTTTAGATATGAAAAATATTCTAAAAATAAAGTATACTTTAACAGATAATAAAAAGGCTGATATGTTAACGAAAATCTTATTTTATAATTAATTCTGAACATTCAGAAATTTGTTACATGTTTCTGAATGCATGTCGGCCTTCAGTAATGCTGTGGGGACCAATGCCGGCGGCGTTGGAACTATGGAGTTTATTGAAGAAAATATGACAAAATTTAGTTATTTAGATATTTTAAAGCGTAATTTATGTCAAAGCTCTCAAAAACTCAACATTCCGACTGTGTTCTGGTTCCAACAAGATGATCTTAAACATACATCATACCTTGTAAAGGAATGGTTATTATACAATACTTCAAAACAACTAGAAACACCACCACAGTCTCAGTTAAAAAATAGCAAGTGCCGAAACAAAAGCGAATTGAAAAATGAAATTTGTAAAATTTGGATAGAATCTCGCCAAACTACACCAAAAAGTTTGTGGACCCCATGCTAAGGTGAACAACTGGCCTTAACTGTATACTCAATTTTATGGCGTGAATTTCGTATCATTTGTTGTTATTGTTAATATTTATTTGGAAAACTGAATTATTTTGCATTCAATTTAGTTAATAAGATTGTTGTTAATATACAGGGTGATTTATTAGCTCACCATCAAACTTTGACATATGATAGCTAATCCAATTACCAAAAAAAAATTTAATAAACATATGTCCTATTTCAATTATTTACGAAATTATAACACTTTAAAGTTTTCTGCAGCGAATTTATTAATAGTCAGTAAAATCAAACATTTAACAAAAACAAAGTTGTCATTGTAATATGTCAGTTTGCTGTAAGGTTTAATTATTACATACAAGAAGGAACTCAAAACGTACACTTATAGTACTAAAGAGTATGCTGATATAATTTTCGTGTATGGTTTTTGCAATGGAAATGCTCGACAATCAGTACAAGAATATCAAGAAAGATTTCCACAGCGTCATTTGCCATATTATTCAGTTTTTAGCGATTCTTTCAGAAGACTTCGAGAAACAAGTAATCCTGCTCCAGCAAAAGCTATTCGGCCGCATGTAGTTAATGTAGAGGATGAAGAAGCTGTAATTAATGCTGTCATTGATAATACTTTCATCAGCACTCGAAGAATAGCACACAACATACATGTAAGTCAAAATTTTACATGGCACGTATTGAACCGCGAGGTCCTTCATCCGTATCGTAAACAGAATGTTCAAGCTCTACAGCCAGTAGATAATCAGCAACCGTTAGCATTTTGTGAATGGTTATTGCAGCAACATGCCCAAAATAATGACTCCATTTCAAATGTTCTCTGGACAGATGAATCATGTTTTACACGAGGTAGTATAAATAATTACCATAGTAAATATATCAGGGCAGATTACAAAATCCGATTAGACCAAGCAAATTTCAACAACGTTTCAGCATCAACGTTTGGGGTGGAATATTTAACAACAATTTACTAGGTTTGCATGTACTTGAAATAAGAAATCAATCAGACATTTTAATTCGGCTGAAGAACTCTTTAATTCGTCGTTGTGAAGCATGTATTCTAGCAGAAGGAGGCTATTTTGAACAACATTTGTAATATTTATGAGTTTTAAATAAAATGTAGCAGTTAATTATGATATAAAAATTAAAACTTTAAAGTGGTATAATTTCGTAAATAATTGAAATAGGACATATGTTCATTAACATTTTTTTTGGTAATTGGATTAGTTGTCATATGCCAAAGTTGGATGGTGAGCTAATAAATCACCCTGTATACAAGTTTCCCAAAAGTAACGGATAAATTCGTCGGCGGGTTCAAAGATTAAATTTTTTGCAATTGTTTGGTATATTGTTTGTTTTTTTATTACGGTATATGAAAGAGGACTTTTTTTTGAGTCTAGTACAGTCAATATTAATATTGGTTACATAAGAAAATTGTCGAGAAAAATGATCTTAGTTTCATTATTTTCCATTCATGAGATAGAAAAATAGCAGTAGCCATGCGTAACCATGGCAATCAACTGTTTCAGATATCAAAAATTGTCGTAATAAAACTTCCGAAACAACTGGTTACCATGGTTACGCATGGCTACTGCTATTTTTCTACCTCAAACGAATGGAAAATCATGACAGTTTAAGGCAATTTTTCTCGAAAATTTTCTTATGTACCTAATATTAATATTGGCTGTACAAAATTCAGAAAAAAATCCTCTTTCATATTCCGTAATAAATATGGGGGACTGCTATTTGAAAAAAATACCTATGACGTCATAACTTGTTTAAAAAAGACAGAAAAAATTTAAAATCTATACCAAAAAAATTAAATACTTAGACCCGTCTCGTCCATTTTTCCATAAACCGTTTTTAATTGTTTTAATGAATTGATTCGTTACTTTTGGGAAGCACCGTATATAACACAAACTTTCTGATCACATCTTCTAATTTTTACGTCATTTCATAGCTTGTACCAAAATTATTGAAAGCGTCAATGTTTAACATATTAATCTTCTATTTTAAACAGATCTAATAGACAAGTTTCTCCTGGAATGTCATTGTAGCGTCCTACAAACCCTTTCGTTTATAATATCAAGTCACTTTAATATTCATTCTTTTGTTTTTAATATATATAATGTTGTCAATTTAAAAAATAACGACATAAAATATTATATATAGTATATTATATATTCACCAACACTCTACAGGAATGTTTTCCTGTTCTCGTTGAGTAACAAGGAGCTGTTTTGAATGTTAATCCGTTAGTCGCTTTAATGTGTCAGTCTAGTGTCAGTTAATTATCAATTACATGACAAAGTAATTACCCCTTAGAATATTCAAAAAATAACTTAATAGATCTACTAACGATGTTCCTAATCCTAATCCTTAATTCTTTCAATATTATAATTTAATAATACAAAATAAATACTGTTTTTTGCTGCCTTATAACTTATGTATTTTGCTTAAAGTGCATAATGTTGATACTCAAGTATATGTTAATCTTTAATCATAGTAGGTTTGTCTCAAACATTAAACCCATATCATTGTTTTTTATTGCAAACTAAGGGTACGTTTACGATACTAGCAAAACCGCGAAATTGTTGTCATAGTTTTATATGCAAGTGTTTATATTGGAACGAGAGCTGCGATAAATGATAAGAGCTGCGCAAAATTCATGCATGCACCCAGAACCTTAAATATTTTAGTAAAAAGCTGGCATCAAACATCAAAAGTCTGCAAATTTTTAAAAGGCCAGTTCATATGGTTATACACATATAACCATATGATATAAAAGATGTAAAATGAGACACCGAAGACGACTAAGTAATAAAATATGGAGGGTGCCATTTAAAGAAATGAAGTTATGGTACTTACAAGTTTCGAAAAGGTAACGTACCATAGTAAAGTGACTAAACGTTCTAGACAGCCATACTCGGCATCAAAACATACTCCATCATGTTGCTTAAGCATGTTCTGGATCCTAAAGTGATATCCCAAAAATCGAGTGTTCTCTGATTTTTTGAACAAATATCTGCTGGAGCAGATTTTTCTAGAAAAATTCAAGTAACTCGAGAATGGCCAAATCAAATTGCAAAAAGTAAAGTCATTCATAAACCTTGAAAACAGACAATCCAAATATGTCAAAATTTACAGGGTGTTCCATTTAAAAAAATAAAGTAGGTGGCGACTTCCGGTATAAGCGGAAGTGTTAGATATCTGAAAATATTTTAGTCGAAGAGAACGCAATTGATAATACTTAAATCTGCATTTTCAAATTTTTATTGCCAGAACTCTGTAAAGTTCTAATGGACGGTCGTCGTGGATGACCCTGTATTGGAGCGACGCGTTGTCACACGCTTGACAGCCAACTAACGATAAGAGCGACGCTAATTGTATTCCCTATTTTCTTAGGTATTATCAGGTGTGGTCGGCAATAATAGAAACTTTATACAGAAAAATGTAAAACTCAATTCTTCAATAGTAATAGTATTTAAATTGGATTGCGACAAAGATACGTTTTAAATATTTTCAGCAGATTCTTTTGGTCTTCCAGTATTACTTGCGGTGATATTTCTTGCTTTGCTTGTGCTAGTTTCTTGAACGTGATAGTTAATGCTTTCTCTATCAATGACAATATTATGTAGCAAACAGATACACTTAACAATATCATCAGCTACATTTGTAGTTGTTTGTATCGCTGTTCATAGAATTCTCCACTTAGTATACAGTATTTCAAAAGCACATTCAACAATTTTTCGTGCTCTTGATAATCTAACATTAAAGTAGTCTTTATCTGTATCAATTTATTGTCTTCTATAAGGTTTCAATAGATTACAGAGAAGTGGAAAGGCTTCACACCTATAATAACATGGGGTACAGTGATGTATATTCCATGAATTTTGCAGGGCGTTGCCTTGAGTATTTATAAAGGTGATGGAATTCTTCAAACGTATACCGTTTGGTATTTATTATATTATAATATTAAATCAAACGTCACCTACAAAGCAGAGATCGTCACTATTATCAACGCTCCACTATAAACAGCATCATAGAAATGAATTTTGCGCAGCTCTTATCGTTTATCGCAGCATAACACAACCCAATAAAATTTCAAACAACTATAATTTCTATATAGAAATATAATTATACCTAAAACCGTTTTATTTAAAATTCCTTTATTTTTTAATTCAATTGTGAAATCCTTAAAATCTCCAACTTTTACTATGAATCCTAATATTAACTTTTATCTCAACATTTATAAAATGATTAAAAACTAAACTTTCCAAACAACTTAAACCTTGGTATAATTGTTTGTTTATATGACTATGCATATTTTTCCACAGATAAAAATAAAGCTGATTACGATAATAATTATAGCTGCTTAATATTCGGTTCTTTACTTCAAAAAATAATTTAATAAAATTTTTAATTTTTGAATTAATCAAAAATTAATAAAATCTAATTATTTTATGAAAATTTTAGTGAATATGGAGATTAACTTAAAACCAACGGATTTCAACGAAATTGATGTTTTTGCTACTTATACATTTTTATGGGCCTGGGTTCATCAATACAAAGCTGCCGTCATCTTAGCCAAATTAAGAAAAAACGAAAAAGGTAAAAGAATTAATAAATTAAAAAATTACTAAACTTTTTTGATTTTAGGTGAAGTGGTTAGTCAATCTTATCAACTTCCTCGTGGAGATTGGTTCGACTACATTTCATCACCACATAGTTTTGCAGAAATATTAATGTATATTTGTCTTTTAATGATTATACCAAGAAATATCACTTGGTGGTGTATAACCGGTTGGGTTTTATCAAATCAAGTAATAATTTAATCAAAATAATATGAATAAATAATTGTATATTTATTTAATTTTAGGTTGAAACATCGCTTTTAACTCATTGGTGGTATCAAGAAAAATTCGAAGATTTACCAAAGAATAGAAAGGCTGTTTTCCCGTTCTTTTTATAAATTAAAAACAAGTTACCAATTATCTCTAATTTATAAGTACTTTAGAAGATCGCCAATGGAATGTGTGACGAAATCAGGCACCAAATCCAAATCGCTTTGCTTGGTCGATTTTTTCCAATTTTCGACTTCTTCTAGTCTTGTCACTCCTGTTAAAACCAGCAATGTCTGAAAACCACATCGCGTACCCAATAAAATATCCGTATTACATCTAAAAAAAATGTGAATGATATTTTTGTTATTTTTTTATTAATAAATGTCATGTTTTTTAAAAATTTATTAATTTTTAATTATTCTAATTTAATAACAATCTTTGACCGTTATCTATGACTATGGTATGCTTAAAGAAACAATAACAATTTTAACTAGGCATAATACATGCTTCTTTGGACGATTGTATGTTAGCCTGCTCGACTCCAATGAACAACTTATTTAAAGAAAATCAGTTAGCAATTCAAAAAAGTTTATATATAAATAGAAGAACCTGATAACTTCTTGGACCCAATATCAAGCCTCGGAAAGCGGACGTAAATTGTAGAAGACGAAATCTGGCGAAAAAACGGACTTTGAGAGTTAGACACATTGAATATACCAAGTTTGAATAATGAACGCTAGGAAGTAGAAGTATGTAGTTTGTGAAATAGCAAGTGAAATTAAGTTTACACATTGCTCTATTATCGGAATCCAAGAAGAAGTAGAAATTATAAATGCATTTGGAAAACAACATGCCAAAATTAAACCGCAAGACTGCTAAATCAAATGAAGAACCAATTGCGGCTCCGACAAACTATCTACTATTATAGTGGCAAAAATTCTGTTTCCATAGAGACACCATAAGATGGACAAACAGAGTAAATAGGAAAAGGACTAATTCTTCAAATTTTACAAGAACCTAATATAAAGCAGTTCTACCAAAGGCGATTAGAAACCCAACTTAATCTAAAGCCCATAAGCAACCATGTGCAAATAGAACTGAATAATATCGAGAATAATATATAAGAAGTGATCCACAAAGCATCAGCGGACGTTTTGGGTGAAAATAAACGAAATTAGACAGGAATATAAAGTAAGCTAACATATTTCCAGGGAGAAAAACTACTACCTATATTTGGAAAGAAAACAAAAGAATGGTATATGGTATATGAATGGAGATATCAAACGACTCAAATCGAACCACACTAGTTTATTCAACGATATCATGAACAACGAACTAAGATTTGGAACAAGGAATTTCATAATCATTACAAAGAGCTATTAATACAACAAAGAACGGATTTTATCGAGAACCAAGATAGTAAACGTGATTCAAAATCTTATAGAAGATCAGCGGGTAGTTTGTGCATATCAATTGTAGTCGTGTCACTAGCATACAATATAATGTTCGTATTCCGTGATAAAAACTTGAGCAGGTCATTAATGAAAATAATGAATAGTAAAGGTAACTCAATCAGGAACTCCACACTCAACAAGCAGCTTTTCAGATATTAATTAAAATAAACCATCAAGAAAAAATTCAACCTTAGAAGAAATGTCTGAGTATCAAAATTCGATGTTCGAGTTAGAAACGATGACATAAGAAATATAATGGATGCGAAAACAATAGTATTTGGCAGAATAGAAAGGAAGGGTTTAATTAGGTTTGATCACATAATAAGGATGCTAGAGGATAGATGGCTAAAATGAATATTCAAATAGACCCCACTAGTCAAAAGAAAGAGGGGGAGACCACGGTGGTCGCGGAATCGTGATATAAGAAAAGCAATTTGAATGAGGAGCGGACAATGGAGCGAGAGGTTTAGAGAAGAAACATGGGTATACAGCATCTAGCTGTAATATAACGTATTGTATGTTACAATATGTAACAATTCAATAACGTTAGGACTGTATAAGAAAGAGTGTGGAGCAAAACNATCGTACTTCTATTATTATTTTTCCTACCTTAAGGTATGATTTTGTTGCAGCGTCCACCGTCTGCGCCCTGGGTGGTATGCTCAGAAATGCTTCCTCAGCATATGCATATCTTTTGAGGAAGCATGTATGAGCATCTTGTCCAGGATGCAGACGCTACACCTCAACGACATTATATCTTTACATACATATGTACATCCCTGAAACGTCAACGAAACCTTTCAGAAATTATTTTTAAATGTTTATGATACATACTATTAATGTAATGTAAATGTAAACAAAACATTACAAAAATAATTCAAAACCATTAATGAAACATTTTAGTAGTGTACCGTAATTGTCAGCTGTATGTTGCAGAAACGTTTCAATAAAACATAAAAAGGGTCGGACATTAGCAGTTTCAGACACGTTTCATCTATGTTTCAGAAATATGTCGAAGAAACGTTTCATGTTTCAATAGGAGCCAGATCCGATTTGGAAATTCCAACAAAATCGATATGGAAGGCTTTGTTGGACTTTCTTAAACACTGTAGAAATGAAGATCTTGAACACATACTCCCGCTGCATTTAGGACAGTCTCGAGACGAACATCAAAACGGGTCGACGGATACCAAAAAAAGTTATCTTCTATATTTCAATACCGACAGTGAGAATATAAAATTAGGTAATTTGTAATAAATACAATATGAAAGTTTTTAACACCACATGGCTCTTCGAAAAGGTACGCCAGCGGAAGTACCAAACAAACATGATAATAATCACAGAAAGTACAGACAAAACAAAACGAAGTAGCACCGGAATCGCTAAAAAACTTTGAAAAAACAAAGATATAAGGAAAGAGCGCACGTTGCCCTATTAGAATTATCCATAAACTCACAATAGAACTCTCTTCTAAACCTACACCCTCTTCTCATACTCCAGATCACATGATGATTTTATTGTTATGATTTTTTTTGTATTAGATGCAGTAATTTTCTATATGTGTTAAAATATATTTTAGTTGTGGACACATATCTGACATGCTTGTAGTGCGTCGGTTCGGTTAATTTTATTGATTGATTTATCTTATCTTTGATTTTCAATTTTTGTTATATTATTGTGAGAAAGGTTCTGTACAATTTTTTCCCTACTTTAGTTTTGTTTCGGCCAATGGAAACAATTATTTAGGTTAAGAGCGTTCATAGCAAACAATTTAAAATCTCAGATGGAAGAAAACACAGGAGAGTCTGTAACGCAGTCCGACCAGGAGTTCCAGAGAGAGTTGTTGGAGTTTGTGAATAAGTTAGTTTGGAGTAGCAAGAAGAGTAGAGTGAAGAAGTTGGAAGTTGTGGAATCCAGTGAAGAGTTTGGCGGAAGGAGCTCAAGAGTTTTCCAGTGCAGTTCGAAGGAATGAGTACTTTCCAAGTAGTCAGTTCGTTGTTTAGTCTAGTATAGTCAAGAAGAGAGGCGAACACCAAAAAAGTAAAAGAAGTATAGAGTTGTGAAGTGAAATCTTAAGTCAAGAGAAGCCCATTGGAAAAATGAGATTTGAAACCCTTCTTAAGTAATTTTAATTAATTGTTGTACTAGTAGCTTATGTTTAAAATGTTCTTACCTATCACCAATCATTAAAGTCCTTTTTGGATCAATATCACAAAGTTTCTTTAAAGCATCATAAATATATGTTCCAGGTTTACCCATTAAAACAGGTTCTTTGCCGGCGCAGGTTTCAATTGCTTTTACAATAGCCCCTGAACCTGGAATAACATAAGAACCTTCTCTTGGAAACCTCTCATCTGTATTAGTTGCTATAAAAAGACAATTTGGTTGATTTATATAAGTGGCAGCTTTCATCATTTTGGGATAAGAAATGTGTTGGTCAAAACCAACAATTACAGCCCCAACTTCAGGATCCTCAGTGTAATTATCTAAATACCTATTTAAGGGTACATTTAAAACATCCGGCTAAAAGAAATTTATAAATTATATAATTATAACAATAAATATTTTCAGCAACGTTTACTTACTCCAACTCCTATACTTTCAATCCCAACTAATTCTAGTTCTTTGGATATTCCACTTGAACCAACAATGTACACTTTTGATTTAAAATTTAAACTTTTTAAATAAGAAGCTGCTAAATATGATGTAGACATAACCTCATTCTTTACAATTATAAATATAAAATTAATACATACAAAAAAAATCAAGTTTAAACTTACAATATCACATTCTATTCCCATTCCTTTGGCTTTATTAACAAATTCCTCCCTGGTTTTCGTAGAATTGTTCGTTACAAAAAATACTTTTTTACCATTATCTCTTAATTGATTCAGTAACATAGGGGCCCCGGTTATTACATTATTTTCAATCCATATAACTCCATCGCAATCCGTTAATATCACGTCGAAATTATCGAAGAACGATTTTAATTCCTCTTGAGGTAGATCTTCGAGTTTTGATGCCTGTCTTGTTGACATTTTGATTCCTAAATACAACTGTAATACGTTAATGTTAAAGTGAAAATATTTAATTGTTTTCTTATAAAAGATTTACATACTTTCACTAAAAATTTTGCCACAAAAAAATATATTTTATAAGGTTAGATGAAGGTTGAGGTTATGTTTTTGTTTTCATAACCTAAAAATCAAATTCAAATAAGCTGTTTAATCGAGCATGTCCATGATTTCATAAATAACCTTAATTTAATTTTATTAAACTTAAAATTTATTATCCGAATTTCCTATAACTAGATATATTCCGGTTTAGCTGTGCCTTGGTCATCCTAACAGAAAGATATCATGTGGACATTTAATACAATTTAACAGCTCTTCTTGTAAGGATGGTATAGCCAGCTCGGCCAGCCCTAACCCAACCTAAGCCTTAGGTAGAATTGGACCATCTCAACACAAGGATATCAGAAGCAGATATCAGAAAGCAGCTGCACACAAAGCAAGATAAGAAAAGGCTAAATAAGACTTCTATGCTTGAAGTTTTACAAACTGATAATATTAATATACATAGACAAATAATCCAAAATAAAATGTATACTGGACAACAGAGTAACAGATAACTTCTTGGAACCAGAATATATGGAAAATTTCATGACAGACAACAAATATCTAGAAAATGTATCTGTTTTAACTAAAGTATACGGTCCATACAGAGAAGGAAAAGCAACATGGATAACGAACGTGAATCTCATGATAAGTTGGAGATTTAAAACCCAATAGGAAAATTGCTAGAAAGACTACAGGCAATTGATATAAAATGGCAATTTGAAAAGGTGTTTTGCAGAGCAACTAACAACTTAGTAAGTGAAACAGGGCGAGACGCGGAACGATTGGTTCTATGACGAGTATCAGCGAATATCTGATGCAAAGACTAAAGCCTACATAAAATTGTAACAACATAGCACAAGCAGTGCTCTTGAAGAATACAGGGAATTAAGGCGAACGGAAAAGATATTATTCAGATGAAAGAAGGAGGAACAGCAGAACAAGATAATAGAGGAAATAAATGAGCTATACATCGAGTGTTACAGGGAAATTCTACCAAATTGTTCTCTGTAAAGAGAATAAAATAGGAGTTTAATCCCAGAATAATTGCATATAGAGACAAACAGGGAAATATCCATAATAATAAGGAAGAAATACTTAACAGATGGGCAGACCACTTCGAAGAACTCTTAAAAGGACTAGAAGAACAGGAAAAGGTCAATATCAACATCAATACCGGCTCCACCAACAAGAGAAGATCGTTAATAGAGCCGACAAAAGAAGGAGTGAGAGAAGTCATTGTAAGACTGAAAAGAAATAAATCGGCAGGCTCCGACGAATTACAAGCGGAGTTCGTTAAAAATGGTAGAAACACATTGGTACAACACGTAAAGGACCTTGTAGGAAAAGTTTGGTCACAACAAGAAATACTTTTCAATATGATTAGAGGTAATTCTCTTGGATTGTGGCAATTACAGGAGAATCATATTACTGAATGTAATTGAATAAAACACTGTCGAAGGCGAGTACCAAGCCGGTTTCCAAAAGAATAAATCAACAATAGACCATATCCTTGTATTGCGGAGAAGATGGATTTAAAGATAAAGCGGTGGAAACATACCATAACTCTTGCAAGTTGTGGATGGCACGATAGAAACGACATGTATGTAGTTTCATGTGGGGATGAATTCCTTCATAGCACTTAGGCCCCAGCTTTCACACCTCTACAAAGGGATGTGTTCGCCAACTTCAGTAGTATTCTTACGTAACTTGCAGTGTCCGGTCAGGAAGTGTGTGAGGAGTCCCAAGTCACTTTTTTATTTTCCGAGGAACTGAGTAATTGTTTTCCGGTTAGGATAGAGCAGAGTTTTCTTTGCAAAGATACCTACTGCAGTCTCATCCTAATTATAACAAAAAGCTCGATGGGAGATGGAATTGATCAGCTTTGATGATTCGAGAGAAACCGGTGACTTTTTACCCTTATTTCTGGTCCTTTCCGCCACTTTATCGTGACGTTGCTATAAACATTATATTAGCCTCTTCAGGTGGTTGCAGACAAAATTTCACTAGCGATGATGTAGTTTGAAGTCTACTAAGCGCCAGCATAACCTGTCTAACTGTGCAGATGACGACGTTATTGCTAACTTTTTTGGAGTCGATGATCACATTAGCTGCTATATTTATAACAGTTATTTCAGCCTGAGCAGTCCTGCAGTACGACCCTAGAGAAATGGAAAGATGCAGTTGGAGATCATGCGAGAAAATTCCCGCTTCAGAACATCCAGTTTCCTTTGTTCCATCAGTGTATATGGTCGGTGTTAGATAGAAATGGTATACCTGGGATTCTTAATAAATAAGAAATAAAGAAAAGGGTAATCCAAGCCCACAAATAGACTTAAGAACAACTTCACATGTAAGCTATCAAGTAAAACCAAATTAGTCCTATACCAGACCTTAACACGACCAGTATTATGAATCGGAAATATGGACCTTAGTGCAGAATGACCAAGCGGCACGGAAGAGATAAGGAGATTGGAGAGAAAATATATGGCGCTGTTAGGACGGTGTTACAATGTTACAATATATCTTCTATAGTGTGAACCAGAGATAGTTAAATTGTCAAAGGTTGATATGGGGTACCACAAGATGATGGCCAAGTGATTAAGAGATATCAAATTCCTGGCAACGGTGAGGAGTTAAGGTACATCTTTATTATACCAATTAGCATTGCTGATTGACTATGAAGAAAGTATTGCGTGTTTACATATGACTGGTGAAAAAAATTAACTTTTATTAGCAACTACTGNGTGGCAATTACAGGAGAATCATATTACTGAATGTAATTGAATAAAACACTGTCGAAGGCGAGTACCAAGCCGGTTTCCAAAAGAATAAATCAACAATAGCCCATATCCTTGTATTGCGTATACACATAATATTTTCGTGAACTTCATCTGCGCGTACATCACCATACTGAGAGAAATTATACGAGGCAATATCGCAGTTCAATCTAATTCTTCATCTGGTAGCAAGGATACATTGAACTCTCAGTAAAGTCAAGAACATTTGAAAGCCACGAAGGTCTACGACAGGAAAATAGACTGTCATGTCTGCTTTTTAACAATGCCCTGAAAAAGGTAGTAAGACATACAGGACTTCGAACATCTGAAACAATCTTCTACAAGTCAATGTAGATCTTGGTATTCGCCTACAACATCTAGATATTATGACGACAACAGCAAACGAGGAACTTCATAAGCTTGAAAACAGCGGCGGAGAAGATGGATTTAAAGATAAAGCGGTGGAAACATACCATAACTCTTGCAAGTTGTGGATGGCACGATAGAAACGATATGTATGTAGTTTCATGTGGGGGTGAATTCCTTCATAGCACTTAGACCCCAGCTTTCACACCTCTACAAAGGGATGTGTTCGACAGCTTCAATAGTATTCTTACGTAACTTGCAGTGTCCGGTCAGGAAGTGTGTGAGGAGTCTCAAGTCACTTTTTTATTTTCCGAGGAACTGAGTAGTTGTTTTCCGGTTAGAATAGAGCAGAGTTTTTCTGAGTTTATTTCAGAGTTTGTCTCATCCTATCTATAACAAAAAGCTCGATGGGAGATGAAATTAATCAGCTTTGATGATTCCGGAGAAACCGGTAACTTTTTAGCCGTCGTTTCGCCAACCTGTCCGCATGATCGTGTCCCTTATTTCTGGTCCTTTCCGCCACTTCATCGTGACGTTGTTATACACATTATATTAGCCTCTTCAGGTGATTGCAGACAGAATTTCACTAGCGATGATGTAGTTCGAAGCCTACTAAGCGCCAGCATAGCCTGTCTGACTATGCAGATGACGACGTTATTGCCAACTTGTTTGAAGTCGATGATCACATTAGCTGCTATATTTATAAGTTATTTCAGCCTGAGCAGTCCAGCAGTACGACCCTAGAGAAATGGAAAGATGCAGTTGGAGATCATGCGAAAAAATTCCCGCTCCAGAACATCCAGTTTTCTTTGTTCTATCAGTGTAGATGGTCAGTGTTAGATGCAAATGGTATACCTGGGATTCTTAATAAATAGGAAATAAAGAAAAGGGTAATCCAAACCCACAAATAGACTTAAGAACAACTTCACATATAAGCTATCAAGTAAAATCAAATTAGTCCTATACAAGACCTTAACACGACTATGAATCGGAAATATGGACCTTAGTGCAGAATGACGAAGAGGCACGGAGGAGATAAGGAGATTGGAGAGAAAATATATGGCGCTGTTAGAACGATGTTACAATATATCTTCTATATTGTGAACCAGAGATAGTTAAATTATCAAAGGTTGAGATGGAGTACCACAAGATATCAATGTGTGGCCAAGTGATTAAGAGATATCAAATTCCTGGCAACGGTGAGGAGTTAAGGTACATCTCCATTATACCAATTAGCATTGCTGATTCACTATGAAGAAAGTATTGCGTGTTTACATATGACTGGTGAAGAAAATTAACTTTTATTAGCAATTACTGTTGCAATTATTGTTAGTGATTCTGATATATATAAGAAAGCGCATTAAATTGAATAGGTTTTGGATTCGAACAAGCCTTTAAAGAAGAAGAGATTGTGATGCTGGAATTTAGACATTTTTTTCGAATGACGTGTTCTGATTTGAGACATTACTGATGTTCTTGGGGAGGGCGTATTTGAAAGAAAATGGTGTTCAAGAGTAGTAGATGCATGTTTGTGCATAATTGCATAACAGAATTCGTATAAAGTTGGTTTTAAGAAAATTTGTGAATAATAATTGAAGCTAAAATTGAAATGCATACATACAATTCTATGCTTATTGAAAATATCAATATTGATTTTAGGACATAGCATGCATTACAAATATTAAGTTGTTGATTGACTTAAAATAAAATGAAACAAGATAAATGAATATATAGTAACACAAGAAGATTCACAAGAAACAAGTTAATTTTACAAATCATTATCTTAATAATCATAATATTTTGCTATTAAAACTATTCCGAATATTCTATGAATAAACACATTTTATTATTACATAAAATCATTAGGAATTTCAAGGATTTAATTTTTTCCCACTAACCACAACCACCAAGGTTAAAAAGTCACTTTTACATTTATACTAACAATAAGATTTATTGCAGATCTTATAGACAATTACAAACATTTTTATCCTTTTTTTTTAATAATCTTTACAATTTAATAGCTTCAGCCAACGAACAAGACAATCCTGTACCATCAGGTTCAACCTGTAAACTCTTAACAACACCATCTTCGACAACCATGGAATATCTCTTGCTTCTTAATCCACCCAAAACCGCCAAATCGGTGTTTAATTCAATAGTTTTAGTGAATGTTCCTTGGGGATCAGCTAACATTCTAATTTTTTGACCAACTCCTTGTTCTTTTCCCCAAGCGGACATCACAAATGGATCGTTAACAGAAACACAAACGATCTCATCTATGCCTTTGGTTTTTAAAGAATCTGCTTGAGCTACATATCCCGGTAAATGAGTCTAAACAAAATAAATTTGATTAAAATTTAACTGCAAATATATTTCAAGGTCATCATTACCTTGGAGCATCCAGGGGTGAAAGCTCCAGGAACAGCAAAAATGATAACTTTTTTACCTTTGGTTAATTGTTGTACGTTGACTTTATTAGCGGGGGTTTCTTCGAATAAATCTACGGGGGGTAAAGAATCTCCTACCTAAATCACAGAAAATGTTAAATTTTAATTTTAGTAAAATAATAATTTTTTTAGGTTGGTTTAAAGGTCGACCTAACCTAAAATGTCGTTTACATAATTAAAAAAGAGTAACTTACAGTAATTGGCATGTTTAAGCAAGCGGAAGACCTCAAGTTTCTTGAAACAATTCGTCCAATCGAACTGACAAGTTTTAACTGACTGGAAAGTTGCATTTTGATTCCGGTAACAGAAGATAACATAGAATATAATCGACGCAAGTTGACGGTGTCATTAATCCCCACTTAAACTTAAATTGATGTTATATAAACATTGATTTTAATAACATTTTATGAACTCAATCAATGTAGTTACAACAAATAATTAAAAATACTTCAATATTTTCTTTGTTAATATTTATTTTCTTTGAAAATTAATATTATCATGAACGAATGTGATGAACATTAGCTTCATATCTGTTACATATTCTATGTAACCTTCATTATAACGGCAATTTGCAAATCTTATAAAAGTTATAGGATTCTGTGTTAAGTACACAAGGTTAAATCATTTGAAATGGTTAGTTTTATGGAAATTACGCGATGGGTTGGGAAATCACCGCAATATAGTTAAGTAATAACCTACAAATCATACCAAAGAAATACAGCCAATTGGAAAAAATGTTTTTCTGGTACAATTAATAGTCAAACACCTAATATATATAGTTCAAATTAAAGAGGAATCTTTATGCTTTAATTTAATACAATAAACGATTCATAAATATACCTTAACATATGTTTAAAGCTTATACATACATATGTATGTACAGGTGGTTCAAATTCGATGTCCGAATAGGCTTTTTTTATAAAATTTCCATCTATATAGTGTCGTCGAGGAAATTAAATTTACAGTTTCCTGTAAGTTACGGGGCGGTAGGTAAAATCTAAAAAGTTAACAATTAAATACGAAGATAACTTCTGGTATTTAAAAACAAATAATTTTTTAATATGTAACATTCTAACATGTCAAACTTTTTAAAATTTTCGTAATTGATCTTAAAAACGGGATTTTTAAAGTGACACTTCAGAAAATTTTTGAATACAAACAAATGTTGCTATGTTTATTTGAATTAAAAAAAATACATATGAGCGCCATCTATCGATAGTTTATTAAGTAATTTAAAAATAATATTAAATCGTAATAAACAATGTGAAATAATGCAATCTATTCCAACTTTTGTGTAAAACATATATAGATTAAACAGTTCAACAAATATATTTGTTTCAAATATCAAAAATATGTTTTTTTAATTTTTAGTTATAGAACCGTAATTTACAGGAAACTGTAAATTTAATTTCTTTGACAACACTAAAAGAAAAGTTTATTTTTAGTTTTATTCTAAAACAATAAGAAATAGACCTGTCAAACCCTATATTTTTGTAATCAGAAAAAAATAACGAATTTATTAAGCGAATAATCAGTGGTTATTTCCATTTAAAAAAACGAAAATTGTGATAATATCTCAAAATCTAAAACCGACAACATTTTTTTGACTACGTCATCAAATTCTCTGTAAAAAAGTGTCCATATAGTGTCTTAGTTATAATACTCCACCTATAATAATAACCAAGATAATTACATTTGCGGCTTTTACGATATTTTCAATTTTGGCCTCTAGCGGAAAAACAAAAGACGATAGCACTATGAGGTTTTCGGCATTAGCAGTTTCTGGAAAAACGAGATCATGACATGTAGTTTAGACTTATAGTTTTCGAGTTAGCCTATTCGGACATCGAATTTGAACCATCCTGTACATGTACATAAATAACATTTTGACGTTTTACGAATATATTATGTCAAATACTTCTAAAACTTTAACTTTTTGAATTTATTATATATTTATTTAACATTATACACAAATACATTGATCATTGCCTTCAGTTTTCTCTCGATGGACACTTAGCATGCACAGTGCAATTGGTCGTTGATCTATCATTGTAAATCTGATCTGACCAGGTTTTGATTTCCCTCAATGTGCTAAAATTTGTTTCAATGAAATAAATCGTTGATGAAAAACTCACCAAAGTAATGACTACCTTAGCAACTGCCCAGCTGTACCTAGAAATTAAGTAGATAATTAGGATAAAAATCAAATAGTTAAAGTCTTATACACCCAATTATAAAAAGCAAAATAGGAAAATATCAGTAAAGTACGTATTGTACAAGATAAAGATTAATTTATTAAACCTAATTGAACTAAAAGTTCTCATGCCCTAGGTGCCACATAACCGTAGGCAAAAAGGTAAAAGGAAAGCTATGTGATGTCGCCTTTCAGTATCTTCTCAATATTCAATATACTGTTTGTTCGCACACTGACACCAATAAAACTGATTGGGTTATATTTTGGAAACGTTTTGGGCCTATTTTTGTATCCTTTTTACTACAGTAACTACATTGGTTAAACTGAAACCAATAAAGTGAGACACTGAGAGCTGAAAATACTGGTTCCGCTGGAAAGTCACCTTTACATATTAATATACGAACTGGAAAATGTAACTTACTATTAGTTATTTATTTGCCTGGAGCGCAGAGAATCGTATAGAAGTAATAATGCAAAATCCATAATAGATAATTTATTTTTAAAATTTCTTCGTTATTCTAAAATAAGTCGATTCTCCTGAGGAAGCTTGAGTTTTATGGTATAAGAGGCCAACAACTAAATTTAATTAGGTCTTATTTGATGGACAGACAACAGTATGTTGAGTACAGTGGTAAAAGATCATCCAACATAAAAATCAAACATGGTGTCAAACATATCTCTATGCAGATGATCCATACTATTGAAAGATACAATGCCAAACTTAAAGGCTAAATCAGAACATAGCTTGTTATCCTGTCATGAATGGTTTAAAGAAAACTTGCTGAAACTTAATTGTAACAAAACGGAACATACATATACTGTTGAAAACCACACGACATAAAAAATCTTGGCTGACGTCCGCAGTTTCTGCGATAAGAAAACCAAAGCAGGTGGCCACTCATTAGACAGATAGGTTGTAATATTTTGCTTTCTTGCATTCGGTGGCATTTTATGGCATCCTATTTTGGGACAGGGAATCTGATTTTCTGAAGATTTTCCGACTGCAGAAGGTGGTACTGGTCCTGTGCGGGCTGCGAATAGATGAGAGTGGTAGGACCTACTTTAAACGGGAGAATATACTTATCTTACCAAGTATACTAAGTGCATTACTGTATGTATATTTTCGACACGAAGGATAAGTATTCTTCTAACGGTAATACTCATAGCTACCAGACAAAGTCAGGACACCAATTGCAAGTACCGTGTTACAGAATTGCCTCAACACAAAACTACGTGGATTACTGGGGACCGAAACCCTTCAATGTGCTACAGTAACAACTGACTGCATAATCAATGAATGTGCGATGAAGTGCCGTTTCTTGGTCGAATTCATTCAAAGTTTTCTAGCATTGGCCTTAGCATTACAGATGATGGCAGATGGCAGTATATATGTTGTGGATTTACACAGCATTGTACATATCACCAACGAAGTTTGATGTGTCCTTATAGCTCGCTCTGCTATGAATGCGCGGTCGAATCATGGCCTCCTTCAATTTTTGCTTCCATACTTCTTTATCTCTTTTAACATAAAAGAGATGGATCCAAGATTTTGCTCAAATGCATATCGCGAATATGGACGCTGACATGGCCGCAGAGAATCGGAGGGGATTAAATGTTATGGACAAACTATTAATGTTAAGCATAGGACATATCAAATATAAAAGATATAAAATGAGACGCCGAAGACGACTAAGTAATAAAATATGGGGTGTGCCATTTAAAAAAATGAAGTTATGGTGCTTCCAAACTTCGAAAAGTTAACGTGTCATAGTAAAGTGACCAAACGATCTAGACTGCTGTTCTCGGCACCAAAACATACTCCATCATGTTGTTTAAGCATGTTCCGAATCCTAAATTGATATCTCAAAAATTGAGTGTTCTATGATTTTTTGAACAAATGTCCGCTGGAGCAGATTTTTCTAGAAAAAATCGAATAACTCGAGAACGGCCGAATCAAATTGCAAAAAGTAAAGTTATTTATAAACCTTCAAAACAGACAAATCCAAATATGTAAAAATATACAGGGTGTTCCATTTAAAAAAATAAAGTAGGTGGCGACTTCCTGTATAACCGGAAGTGCTAGAAATCTGAAAATATTTTCGATGAAGAGAACGTAATTGATAATACTTAAGTCTGCATTCTCAAATTTTTTGTTTGGCCAGAACCCCAGAAACGTGTAATGACCGGTCTCGCTGAGACACCCTGTATATGAGCAAATATGGTTTTCAGAAAAATGCCCGAGGAGTGGAATCGAGGAGGTGAAGTGTGAAAATTATAGAGTTGCTTAACACAGCATATAAAGCATACGTCAATGTACTATATAAAGTAGATTCCGGCCAGGTAGATCAACGATGGCCCAAATATTGAAAAATTTGCTCTACTCCAAATTACAACAACATGAGCCAAAGTATATGATGTCTTATATAGACTCCATCCCAAGAAAATTGGTAGACTTGGTAAGAATGACAATGAGGAACGTCAGATACTGCATGAAAATATAAAAGAAGATCTTAGAGAATATAGAAATACATATTGTTGTGACATCGTCCGATAAAACATGGATAAAACCAAGGTAGATAAACATAAGGTATGCTCATACGGAGAGCGAATTGGCACTCGTACGTCATCACAGCGTCATAGCTTAGCAACAACTATTGTCTACTATTGTAAGTGTAGGTTTGTTTACAATGGCTATGACGTGCGAGAGCCAATTCGTTCGCCGTATGAGCATACCTTATGTTTATCTACCTTGGGTAAAACGGTAAAACTATAATATATCTATCAGATCAATTTTTTTAATATTGGCATTATTGCTATCGTTGACATTTATCATTGTCATGTCAAACTTATCTACAAAATTTCTTTATTATTTTTAAAAATTATTGCCTATAATGTTTAGAGATATAACTTAAAAATTATGATAAAAAATTGTGAAAAAATGATTCAGAAAAACTTTTTGAAATGAGTCTTAAAAGATCTCTGATAAATATAGCTAAACTACCTTTAAAAGATGTCAAAGAAATTTTCAGTTCTTTTGATACAGTATTAACGGATTGCGATGGAGTTATCTGGTCATCAGCTGATGTTATAAAAGGAGCTAAAGAAGCATTAGATTTGATAAGAGGTAAGGGGAAAGAACTGTTTTACTACAGTAATAACTCAACGAGATCCAGAGAAATGTTTAAATCATCAATAACGAAGTTTGGTTTTCATTGTAAAAACGAAGATATCATTTCAACAACATTTTTAACCGCTTATTATCTCAAATCAATTAATTTTAATAAGAAAGCTTACGTAATAGGCTCGATTGGACTCTGTAAAGAATTAGAATTAGTTGGAATAAAGCACACTTCAGTTGGAGTAAGAACTTATATTTTAAACAACACTTTTTATGTATAAAATCAACTATCAGTTACTTTTAGCCCGACGTTCTTAACATAAAAGAATCGATTTATGAATATGTCGATTCCTTCCAACCCGATCCTGAAATTGGAGCTGTAGTCATCGGTTACGACATCCACATTTCATTGCCGAAACTCATCAAAGCCTCGTCATATTTAAATCGTCCGGATGTTTTATTCGTGGCCACAAATACCGATCAAAGTTATCCATTAACCAGAAAAGATGTTGTTCTTCCTGCTGTGGGTTCAATAGTTGCTGCAATACAAGCTGTCGACAATCGCAAACCTTTTATAATTGGAAAACCGGAAACTTATGCTTTGGAATGGCTGAGGAAAGAAGTTCATGTCGAAGCTAAAAGAACATTAATGATCGGAGATAGGTGAGTTTTAAAAATCGTTATGATGCCTGAAAAATATTTATTCAGAAATTAAGTAATATGATTAATCAATGTTGGAATGTAAATTGTAATACCGTTATTACCACAATGAATTGGCAGATTATTTTTTTAACACGAATGGATGATGGTATTTAACTATTCACATAATAAGCAGAATGTTCGTGATGTAACTTGGTATTTATCATATTCGGTGTATAATATGTTAATTATTTTTCAACAAGCATAAATATAAAGAGTACAAAGTTTATGTCACATTTTAGCCAGCATTTTCGGTAAAGCTCTTTTGACACTTACTGACATAAAGGTATAACCCTTGGGGCAATACTAAGGTTCATCAAGGACCTACATTTGCCCTAAACTTTTGGAGGGCTAAAATTACAATAAATCTTATAGGTCGCGATAACGAAAGGTGCCGCTCCCCTTAGCCCGGCAGCAATAATAATAATAATAGCCAGCATGCACCAATCTCTTTTTGAACTCTCATGATATACAATTGCTACGGTTTGCCATAGCCACATGTGTTGCCAATTTATAAAGTATTGGTTAACAATGAATCCTATACGGAGATCATATGTATTAGGTTTCTATTAGTTTGTAACATCCTTGTAGCACGTACTTTGTAAGTTTTTATGTTGAAAGCAGCCTCAATTTTCCAGGGATTTACTTGAAAAAAAAGAAACCCATAGTCAATAATTAGATTAATCAAAATCGAAACAGTCATTGAACCTCAAATGATGAATTAATCATACTAGTTCACACGTCTTTGATGGATGAGCATGTTGATAGATGCAACCAACAATGTGTCTACTTTACCAAGAGAGTGATTGCTTTGACACCTCCAAGAATACCAGCGTAACAATCTGACATAAACTGACCACCGTCAGTAGTAGCCGACCAAAGATTCGGTTTCTGTAAATGTTTCTGTTTCGGCCAAAAATCGATCTTTCGGCAACTTCGGCAAGAGCCGAAACTGGCTGGATTTCGTCTATTTACGTATCTGCTTTGGCTTGCGTACAGAAGCTTCCTCTTGTTTCAAGTAAGATGAAACAAGTTATTTGTTTAGATGCGGTTACGTCTGAGGCGTTTGCAAAAAGTTCGTAAATAAAGAAAGACGAGGAAAGACTTTTGTCCGTTCTACGACAAAAGCACTGCTGACTTCTTAAAAGCCATATGTAAACTTTGCAAAGACTTTATTCTTTTGGCAGCAACAAACAAAAAAAAACTATACATGGATTGAAGCAACATTTGTCCAAATCTTTGCCATACTCTATAGTGGAAAGTACTGCTTTCAGATGTTTTAATTTAGCAGATAGAGAAATATGCAGAAAAATAGTCGGTCACTTTCGAAGGAGAGAACAAGCGACCAGCAAACTGACAAGTTGTCAAAATCAGTGCAGACTTTCTACTCACTCTTTACTAAAGGACATAGAAGTGCGGTGAAATAGCCTGTACTTAATGTTGCAACGATTCACTTGTTGATTCCACTTGTCATGTAGTGATTAGGATTTTATAAATAATATTACAAATTTTTAAAAGTTATGAAGCGACATTAGAATTGTCTTTTGACAATGCTTATATTTCTGTAATTATATTGCTTATACCAACGCTCAATGGCAAATCAGGATAGTACGAATCCTGATTTACGAATAACGAAGGGGAGAAAAGCATGACGAAGCAATTGCATGCGGTCGGAGAGTAATCAGTACTTAAACCGTAGCATTCGGACCACTTTATTTCCTTTTTAAAAAAGACAATCAAATCAATTACTTGAAAAATATCTGCACCTGTTGTACATTGAGAAACAAGATGACAAACCAAAAGTTTTTCTACAAATTTATTCGCTCTCAAGTATCACTTTACAATCAAGTTACAATAACTATTAAAACTATACTTCATCAGTACGCGCATCTACTTGAATGGAAAAATATTTACTGTTACTAATTTCTTTTATTATTGTTTCCTCCATGTTATCAGAAATTGTTTTGATTCTACGAAAGCCTGTGTTATTGGAAATTCTTTTTCACAATATTTTCTTACATTTTCCGAAAAATTCTGCTTGGAAATTTCATTTCGCTAATATAAGGCAACTTTTTTCTTCAGTCACAAGAACTAGATAAATTTGAAGAACTTGATAATTAATTGCAGACACCAATTAATTATTTTGATTTTTTATAATGAAATATACTTTTCAACAGCTTTTAAGTTACACTTAAAAACCTGTAAAATTATAGTACCTATATTAAATAAATTTATACCCAGTAAACAAATTTGCGTTTCAGAAATATTTCTGGTACATATTATTGAAACATGAAATGTTTCTTCGACATATTTCTGAAACATAGTTGAAACGTGTCTGAAACTACTAATAATCGGCCCTTTTTATGTTTCATTGAAACGTTTCTGCAACATATAGGTGACAATTACGGTACATTTCTGAAATGTAAATACGTTTATCTACAACTATTGAATTATCTATTCATTATACATTTGATTTTTGACGGGTAATGACACGCATTACTCATGATTGACAAAGTGTTGAATAATGAAGCCATTATTCCACAGTTCTGACACGGCCTACCAATCAAAAAATAAAATATCAACAGAAATGACAGCTTTCTTATATTGAGGTTATGTCTGAAATGTCTATCAAGTTTATTTTTTTTCCTTTTTTTGAATTTTTTTTTCAAAATTAAATAGTTGTAGATAAAGTATAGTCATATTCAACTTGCGTATAATAGATGTTACCCATTCAGATTACAACTTCATCTTCGTGGGTAACAGCCGCCATTATACGCTTGTTGAATAATATACTATTATCTACGACTGCTTTGATAAGTCATCATTACCGCACTCATTTGAGGTGATTTGAGTTACGTAATGAAGTTCATTACCGCACTGGTTTCATTACGTAACGCATTTTTAGCCTAATATATTAGCCTGAACAGACTTAATTTATTGAAACGAGCAACAATACCAAAGAAAAAGTGCTATCTACTTACAGAGAAACAATACTATTTATTATAAACATTAATTGTTATGTTTTTACATTTCGAAACACTTATTCCAGATGAGAAAACATGTCGTTGAAACTGACAATTCAAACTTGTCAACGATCATTTCAAAATATTTTTGTAAATGTCAAATAGACTTTTTTAAAGAAATTGATTTTTTAGTAATTTTTAGCAGTCGTAGATAAAATGCTGTATATCACACGTGGGCTAGAGCATAATTACATAATTAATAATAATGTTTCTAACCCACTTGTAATATCCTCTTTCTTTAAATAGTGTTCACTAGCCGTATTTTCATTAACTAAATCTAGTGGTGATATATAAAAAAACTTATACAAAACTTGCGCCATTCTAAACCAATATTCGAACGATTCGAACTGAGAACAGAACAAAACACAATAGAACAAAACGCTGACCGCGATGAAGATGTTCCAGACATGTTTCAGACACATTTGTAAAGAAATGTTTCAAATAAAATGTTTCTGCTACATATTTTAATGATATTTCATAAATATTCCTACTGAAATGTATTTGATACATATCTTTAGATACGTTTCGTAAAAATCTATTATTGTTATCTATCACGTATATGAGACGTAGTTCTAAGATGTTTCATTTAATTCACTGTACGTTAAAATTGAAATGTTTCACAGATGTGTGTTGTTTACTGGGTATATTATAGGGAAAATAACCTTGACACCTAAATAAAATGATTTACATTCGCAATATCTTGTTTAATTATGTCTTGAAGGTCATACACTTTTTATCAATGTAAAAAAATGAATATTCACTAATTCAACTTATAAGATATATAAATAAAAATTGGTACTACTTAAAACTGATATATTTTTAAGTCTAAATTACAGTGGTAACTAAAGGTTATGTAGGTGCAAGAAAGCATTTGAATATATTTTTACATAGCACAAACTTTTGGAACATGTTTTGCTAGTCAGATCTATTACTAATAACATCCTTAAGATTTATTATACATAAAACTATTTCATCAAATACAAATACAACAATAATAGATATAATAATAAAGTATAATAATTTAGTATAATATCCATAATGTCATTTCCCAGTGTTTCAAATCAAATGGAACATAATATTCAACTATTAAGTGTTTGTAAAGTCATACCATATTATACCTATTCTTATGCCATAAAACGTCTAAAAGGAGCTCCTCCAAAACAAGGTCCTTATAACAAAGTTTTCATGATCATGTTCAACAAATATAGTTCTTTGGAGAAAAACGATTGATTATAATCGCTCAATGTGTTAATAAAATTATATCATATAAACCATGAGTTTTCTATAATATTTCCATTGTTAAATGCAGAAGTGAGTTAATTGTAATAAAATTCCAAATATTGACTTACTTAGATTCAGTTTGCAAATCCAAAATACACAGTTTCACCTTTTTTTCTGAAGAATACTATAAATTTTTACAATATAATATTTAATCAATACAGGTTTTTAATTATTTACCAAAAATCAATATCCACTAATTACTTTTGTGACGTTACTTATCTTTTTTTTTATCATTAATTCTCCATAATTTAATTATCTTCTCTTAGATATAAATTTGTTTATAACTAACTAAAATTCCCTACTAATTTGTTTAATAAGTACTGATAATTGATTTACTTACATACATGTTATTCACATAACTGTTTCATTTTTATCATATTTTATTGGGTTCATTTTCTTGAAAGCTAGCTATATCAAACGATTTTATTTGTTTTGTTATGATATTACAAATTAATTAGGGTTTTGTGGATGTTTATGTATACTAAACGATATACATAACAGTAGTTTTCTTTATTAGCTTCAAGAGAATATATAGTAGGATATCTTCCCGACAGATAACCCATTCTTATTTTTAATTCAACTGCTTCTCCCGTTTAATTACGAACGGGGTGTTGCAAATTTTAATTAAAGGCAAACAACTTATTTTTAATACTTTATTTA